GACAACTCATCTCCCTAAGCCAGAGCATCCAAGCGTGTCACAGTCACAGTTCTCTGTTCTAAAGATGGAAAAATGCATGGATGTGGATGTAGATGCAGATGCAGATGTAGATGGAGATGTAGATGTAGATGAAGATGGCAGGGTATTGAAAACTAAGCCAGTGAGGATTAGTTCTTCCATCCATAGGACCATCTGACCTTTCTGGCCAACTACCAGCCCTTCTACATTTCTACTTTCCTAAATCCTAGCAGCTTGATCCTGAATAACTGATCCACAAGGAACAAATTCAAGCTATAAGGACTCTGTTTTACGGATAAGATCAGATTTTATAGGAAATACCAATTTTATCATACAGATAGAAGCCTGATTGTCTGCCGTTTTCATCCTGTCTCTGTCAACAGGATTTTAAGTTTCTGTCTGAAGATAAACCCGTCTTTTTAAAGACAGTTACTTGAAAAATAGTTTCCAAAACATACAAAACATACCAAAACATTGTGATAATATAAACCCTGTTCATTAAAAAAATCCAGAAATAATTGGAGTGGCCATGCTCTAACATGTTTGTAACCTATTTCAATAGAATGTCATCAACGTTCAAAATAATAACATCATCAAATTCTAGTTAATCTCAAACTAGCGAAGTGTTATTTTAATCTGATTAGTTCTCCCAGTGGGAAAGGCTGGAAGTGACTTCAACTGCCTGAAGATCTATAAAAGGTTTGGGTCACTGGAGGCAATATTCTACCTACAGGTGTTTGGTGTTGTGTTTTACAGCCTGCAGCAAACTTCATTATGTGTGAAAAGACGAAACACCACAGTCATTTCTCACTTCAGAACATCGTCAAATGTCTGCTTAATCTTTCTAGTGACCATCCAGCTAATTTTATCTCTGAAATTCTGCACAAGAAACACCCATTCTTGTCGTTACATGGCAACTTAAAATCAACAAGCAATCCTTTCTGAAACAAATCCTTAGAACTATTTCTGAAAAAGAACAACAGTGGAAGAGAGCCATATTTAAAAATTCCAGCATTTGCAAATAGCTATTACAGTCTGTAATGTTGTAACATGTTTTTAAAACAGCTATTTTAGGACATGCACGCTTAATGATCAGTGTTTTGGTCTTAGAAAGATACTGACTAAATAGACATCATCCTGTAGACTACTTTATAGGTTATGTGGATTGTAAAACAAGTTATACGAGTGCCCATGGAACTACAGAACCTCAAAGGAGACACTGTTTTTTTTTCTGGTAAGGACTAAAAGTTTCTTTTACTTGTAAGACACTCCCTTTGCCTTTTTGTAATGTCTAAAACACAATTAGTAAACTGTTTTGAGTCTAGACATTTCTAATTTTAAAAAGCTAATAAAAAATTACTTACCCAATTTTCCTCTAGACTAAAAATGAAAATGTACCCCTCTGTCCCTGATTTTTATAACCTTCTGCACTCCTTCACGCCTGGCTGCTGTATGGATCCCCTTTCTCCCTGGATCACATGAAAGTGTTCTATTAATGTGAATTGGCTTATGTTTGAGAACACTATGCTGGAGAGCTATGAAGTGTAAGGAATCTGACCCAGGGAGCTGTAGGACTATGACACATCAGTTCTTCACAGGAATTCTCAGTTGCTGGATGAGAATAACATGAGATAGGTCCTGCACACGGGGTGCAGGCTGCTGTCATTGTTAGTACACTCTTTGCTGAAGGCAGTGAGACAAGTTCCATGTAACTGCAATTTTACCCTCTGGCTTTTCACTCCAGGACAATAACTACTACATACCAGGCTGTCTCTCTCACCTGACTAACTTAGGAAGCTACGTTTGGGAAAATGAATCATTTTAGCACGTGGCAAGCATATAACCCCAGCATGGCTACAAGTGATTGCTGCCTTAAGAAAACCATTGCAAGTCAGCACTGCTCTGCATTTTTCATGAGATACGCTGGAGTTCAGAATAAACATTCAAAGCCTAGAAATGTGAGCAGGTTACCTGGCAGGAGGGAAAGAAGGAAAAAGCAGAAGTTTCCTGCCTCCATTCCATTCTTCATCCCTTTGCCTTGTGTTCGGTCTTCTCTTGCCCACAGAGTCAGAAAAGCAGGAAAGCAGCTTGTTTCTCCTCACGCTGGGTGAGATGGATCTTTCAGCCCGCTCCTTTGAATGTAGGGCTTGAAGTTAGAGCATCACATGTGAGCCTTTCAGGGAAAAAAAAAACACATGCCACTTCAGTACAGAGTTGTCTTAACTACAAACCACCAAAGCACGTGTCGCTGGAATAGGAAACCCCAATCATAGAGCAGAGCATGTTTTCAGTTACATGGTACTTTTGGAAAATCCTCCCTTGGAATACATTATTTCAGAGAGGAAAACATTCTTTCAGAATAGGTTGCGAGTTACAGGTCTTTAAACACATGTAATAAAAATATATTCACATCAGTACAAGATAGGAAGAAACGATTGCTGTTATAGGATTAAACTTATCACAGAAGTGCTTAGGTTTAAGCCAATTGTTTGCACGGTGCTGGCTATGTCTAGTAGGTGGTAACTTCTAGAAATTGCTATAAAGAAAGGTGAATTCCTATGAATTTTCTGGGAATACAGTAATCACTGGCATATCAAAATTTCTAAGTCAAAAAAAATGCCGTGCAGTTATGCAAAATATGGGCAGAACTCTACAGAGCACTAAGCACTAATTGGCTTTTGCAAAAATCTGACATTGTTCTACATTTGCTTTTAATTCCCTTGTTTCTCCATTAGAAATGTACTGACTGGACCACCAAGGCAGCAGCTGTCTGGCTATTCTCTGCTCTGAGCCATCACTGATGTATGTGTATATATCCTGCAAAGTGCTTTTGGTTTTTTTTTTTATTATTTTTTTTTTATTTTCCTAAACTAAATTGCTGTTTGATTGCAGGGAAAAAGTGGAAGGTTTTAAGCACTTCAGTCTCTGCCAGCAGGACTTCCACATGTTGTCGTAGCAACCTGGTGTCAATCTTTCACTTAATGAAACCTTCCAAGTCATTAAAAAGAAACAGTTCCTGGTGCCAAGGAGGGTTTGATCCTGCCAGGGTTCTTTCCCTGACATCCCACCAGATTGGGCCCCAAGTTTTTTTCAGAGTTCTATTAATAGTTGTTCTTTCATATTCCTCTGAAAATACCTTCTTAGACTGGCACAATGTATACTGTGATTTGACGGGCTGTAACCTAATCCACTTTGCTGAAAGAATATCTGGTGCCAGATTTTTACCTTCCACGGGATTATCTGTAAATATGGAAATAAAAGCTTCTGCAAGAACCAAGTGTATGCACTTACACTTCTATATTGCTAAAACAATTTTTTTAAGTTAGCTACGCTCATTAAAAGAAATTCCCCTCATCTGTGTTTGCTCACAGAGCTGGCAGCTGAATGGCAAGGATCTCAGATGTTTTGTTTCTGATGTTTTCAATTAGTTTAGGCTCCATTTCAGATTGCCAGGATTATCTTTGCGGCAGGAACAGCCATCACTGGGCAATAGGTCCTGGGTTGCAATGTTCTCAGATAATTAATTTCTTGCTTTATCTCTTGGTCTGAAATAGTAGCATTTATGTTGGTGTATTCAAGGGAAATGCAAAAGGTTTATGCTTTAAAATCATATGCAAGACTCCTGGGCAGTGACTAAACTGTCTCATTTAAAAATACATCTTTTTCCATTAAGGCCTGGGAACACCTGCTGGCAGATTGGGGATCTTCACACCAGGAGACCAATCTTCTAGAACTGGACAAATGATTAGAATTGATCCTAAACTGAATGGTAGATCCACAGTTTATTGGCTCTACATGAAAGCACCTGCAGGCTGGGCAGCTTCCGAGCTATCCGAGATGCACAACCACCACCACTGGTAATTGATGTCTCAGCACTGTAAAAAATCCCCATTATTTATCTGTATCTGATGACGAAGGAGACTGCCTATTGCTTGCTGAAATACAGCATCCAGTTTTGCTGCTGAGTATCATGGTATATACAAAGTATGCAGCATTAAGAATTAGAATTCAGTCAGAGATCCTCTGCTAAATGCCAGAAACTTTATGGGCATTTCTGCACTTTGAGAGGATTCTCTGCTTTGAAATATTTATTTTAAGATTCCTCTATGTGAATCTTCACATTTCAGTGAGAATAAGGTTTTGCATGTGTGCATTTATGAGAACTGAATGAACATCGGATGAAAAAATAGTCTTGGTGAGTAAAAAAATTTGAAAATCTCACAATCAACTCAACATGGACCATTTTCTTAAGTCGCTGATTTCACTGTTGATGATGTGTGCATTTATGAGAACTGAATGAACATTGGGTGAAAAAATAGTCTTGGTGAGTAAAAGCAATTTGAAAATCTCACAATCAGCTCAACATGGAGCATTTTCTTAAGTCGTTGATTTCACTGTTGATAACAATCGACATACACGCACAAGAATAGTCAGGAAAGTAGAGGTGTGATCATCTGGACAAGCAGAACTCTCAAAATAAAGATGCAGGGGAACGTCTAGCAATATTGTGAGATGTTTAGTGCACATTAAGGATAGTCAGATGATATTAAAAAACTTGAACACAGATATACTCACATTTGTTAAGCCTATATTTGCATCCTGACATCTGGACTCACTGGGAGGAGAAAATTCACATATGTAAAGGGTCTTTTTGGTAGTTTCTTAATAACATCCACTTATATTTCCTCTCTTTCTGAAGCCATGTGTTATGAGTCAGCTTACAGAAGGCAATGGCATTATTTTGGAAGGGGAGGTCTGGGACATGAGAGGTGATAGTTCATGTGTTGTAAGTTAATTTTCAGATAAATAATAGGATTCTTAAACAGAGTTAGTGGCATAGAAGGCAGAATCTGTTGGCTGCATGATGGCACTTCTGGCTTCCAGCTGTTAAACTATATTAAACTATGTTTGAAAATCGGCTTAATGTACAGTCTGCTCGTGTTTTCCTAAGAAAATAATTGTCAGTGGGATGCCACATCACTGTGAACGGGAGGGGAACACTGCTGTGAATCCTTGTGAATAATGCACAATAAGCCCTTGCCATAGCTGAGACTGGTGAGAGTTCCTCACAGCCTGTCCTATAGCCTAAAACGCTGGTTTTAGCCCTCATTTCTATGCTCTTCTATGCCTTTCACTGTTTGTATAAGGGATCTGCTGCCCAAAATACTGCTACAGCACCGGTCAAAAATCATTTCCTTTTAGAGATAGTTTATGGACAACTGTTAACAGCAGGAGCTGCAAATACAGGATCTAGTTACTTGCAAGTGACACGTGTGACTTGGATTATCATTATTATTATGATATTAAAATATCATTACATGATAATATTATTATAAATTATAATTCTCAATTTTATATAATTAATTATTATTACGTGTGACTAAATTATCCAGTGACTTCAGTGAAAAAGTCACTGGATAATTCACTTTTTGTGAAATTTTGATGAAACTGAAAACTGAATTCAGATTAAACTCCACTAATCTCTGTGGAGTGGTCTTATTTCACATACAAATACAAGCTACTGCAGGAATGTGACAGTAATTGTTGAAATATAGTGTACAATGTTCTTGTTGAAAGTGAATTTATATGCTGCATGGTATTTGTTGTACTCTTGTACTTTTCAGTGTTTAATTTTTGGTTAATATGGTTTGCCTCTTTAAGGACACTTTGTGCTAGTATATTGTGTATTTGGACAAAGAGCAGTTTGTGGGATATTTTGCTCTTGTACCCACTGAGTAAAAGGCCCTGCTTGTCTAAGCACCAAGAAAGGTCAAACATGGATTACAAGAAAGCAAGCAGCATCTTCAGAAATGCAAAATTAGTGTTTGTTTGGGTCTGGATACAACAGGATTTCCTCAGCAAGGTATTAAGCCTTTCACTTCATACTGAACCTTTTAGTACTTTGCCTCCCGCCCAGCTCAGCATTTTGCATTTTGTACAGAATTACAAAGTCTTTGGAATAGGGACTATTTCTTACTTTGTGTTTACGTACTGCATTGCACAATACGTCCTCTCTTGAGACTTTCTGTGTGAGGGTCCAAACCCATGTTACTCATAACGAATTTGCAATGCAAATTTGACAGCACTCTACCAGTCACCCAAAGTACAATAGAAAATTGGTCAAGAGACCAAACTATAATTCGCTCATTTTGTACTGAAAAATGAAATATTTTAAACTTGTATTTTTGACCTGCAGCCTGTAGTCCAGCAAAAGGGCTGATTTGGGGAAGACAAGGAAGATCTATGACTGTATATTCAATCAATCTAATCTATGAAGATGTTTTAGAATGCCTGCTAAAAACACTCTAATAAAACACCGCAATAATTAGAGCAACACAGTAGTATTAAGTATACGTTAACAGAGAAAGAAGAGTCAGCTGGAAGACACAGTCTTGCAGTTGTGAATCTGGTGAACGGGAACTTTGTTTGGAATCAATACAAAATCAGACTTAAATTATCTTAATGATGATGAAGCTACTTTTTTTTTGTCTCTCTGTCTGCTTTACCAGACAATTTCCCAGCCTACTGAAGCTCTCAAGAAGTCGCTGTGGAAGTGTGAAGGTTCTGATCTCTTGCCTCTTATTTCACAATTAAAAAAAAAAAAAAATTAAAATTGTGAATTTGTAAAAATTTCTAGGCAATCCTGTCACTGTGTTTGAACACTGGATAGTACACTGAAGCAGAGAGCATATGCATGACTGCAGCATTATGAACTCCATAAGGGGCATTACAGGCTGTAACCAGGAAAGCAGGAATGAAACCTTTAGCATATATGGCTATTTGAATTTTCTTACAGATTATAGCAACTTAATATTACATATTCTTTTAAGTCTCTTTTCACTGGCATTTTGTGCAAACTCTATACTCACAACTGAGACAAATTGCTAATGATGGTTTTATCTGATTGGTGTAATAATGTGAACCAAAAGTCTACTTTAAGGAACTCTTAAAGAAGGATCATCAGGACGCCAGAAATAATCATTGAGCACACCTCCGAAACTACTGATATTTATAAAACTACTGATATTTTTAAAAAGTTGTACTACTTGTGATGATCTACGAGAAAATAAGGGCAATGAGGGACATTACTTGGCCCACTGCTCCAGATCAGAAGGCAGATCCAGCACTACAATAACCTCTGATGATACTGGCACTGGGAAAGGAACAGAGGAGAAACTGTATATTAAAGAAATGTTTTTAGTCTGTAATGTAAAATGCTCATAATGAAATGACAATTTGAATGTTACTGCATTTTCCAGACGTGTAATGCTTGGTTGTGGATGATTTAAAAATACCAAAGATACATTTCTTCCTATTAAATTAATAATACATATTCTTACATTTAACTTGGCTTTAACTTTGTTGTTTTTTGTATAAACACCACCACTGGTCATCATTAACTAATTTAGGAGTCTACTCCACTTCAAAGTATATATTTGTTACTTTATTTGCCAGAGTCCAGATCTCTGCTTTGTGAATGATCTATGTGTTTATATTGAAATATACATATGTATTAGAGATGCTCAGTCAAGTGTATCACCCCTTTGTCTCTAATTTTCACCTCCTCAGATGTCAGGGCTTAAAAGTAGATGAAAGATTCCTTGTGATTGGGTTCACCATTACATTTCCCCTCCTTAATAAAGGCGAAAGTTCCAGGGCTTTTCCACTCAACTTGTTGAAAGCAGAAAACTTCTTTAATCCATGGGACTAAAAGTTACACCTTGGATGTGCGTGAGCAGCCCTTTTGCGGGGGGGGGTTTATTCGAAATTACTTAGGACCAATTTATTTTGGAGCGAGCCAAGGACGACTACCTGCCAGGCCCGACGCCGCCGGGGGGGTGCTGCCCCATTCCCGCCATTTTAGGAGGCCGCGGTTCCCTTCAGAGAGGAGCGGGGGACCCATTCCTCTCAGAGAGGCGGTGGAGGGGAGGCCTGCATTCCCCTTGGGAGGAAGGTGGGACACCATTCTCTTGAGAGACATGGGGGGACCACTGTTCCCCTCAGAGACGTAGATGGGGGGCCACCGTTCTCCTCAGAGACATGGGTGGTGAGGTGCCGTTCTCCTCAGAGACATGGAGGGGGGCACCGTTCTCCTCAGAGACATGGAGGGGGGCACCGTTCTCCTCAGAGACATAGTGGGGTCCACCGTTCTCCTCAGAGACATAGAGGGGGGTGCACCGTTCTCCTCAGAGACATAGAGGGGGGTGCACCGTTCTCCTCAGAGATACGGGCGGTGGGGTGCCGTTCTCCTCAGAGGCATGGAGGGGACCGCCGTTCTCCTCAGAGACATGGGGGGGGGGGGGCACCATTCTCCTCAGAGATATAGTGGAGTCCACCGTTCTCCTCAGAGGCACGGGGGGGGTGCCGTTCTCCTCAGAGACATAGAGGGCGAACCGCCGTCCTCCTCAGAGAGACTAGGGAGCCGCCCTGAGGGAGCAGCGCGGCCGCCCGGCAGCTAGGAAGCCCCCTTCCTCCCGCCCGCACAAGCACCGCCGGCTGTGCCCGTCTGCCGCCGCGGCAGGAGCGGGCTGTGGCGGCCCCGGCTCCGCCCCGTTCCGCCCCCTTCACGCCGTTTTGGCCCTTGTCGGCCGCCGTCGCGACCGGTAACGGCGTCTCAGCGGCCTTGGCGCCTTCCGCGGGGGCCAGGCTGCCCGGGCGGCGGCCTCCCGCGCCTCTTCCGCGGCGGCTGGCGAAGGCCCGGGGCGCCGACCAGCGATGTCGGAGGCGAGTGGAAGCGATGATTTCTCTTCTTCCTCCTCCTCCTCGCAGAGCTCGAGTGCGGAGCGCGGCCGCCCCTCCACCTCCCGTAACGGCGCCGTGCCCCAGCACAAGCAGCACCGGCTGTCGGGCCGCCCGCTGGCCCCCGAGGAGGAGGGAGAGGAGCCGGAGGCGGCGGGGGATAAACCCAGGCGGTTGGAGAGCGCCGAGGTCGCCGGCGATGAGCGGAGCAGGAGGATGCTCCGGAACCAGTACCGGGAGCTCATCTGCAGCGTCCAGCGTAAGCCCGGGGTGCGGCTCCCCACGGGGGTGGCCCTGGCCGGGGTGCGGGTCGCCGGCCTGGCCTCGGCCCCGGGGCGGACACGGCTCCCCGCCGGCGGGGAGGCCTCATTGTCCCGGGGAAATGGGGGCTGGGGCAGCCCCTGGAGGTGCCAGGCTGGTGGTCTGTCCTTGGTGTTTGAAGAACTCTTGAGGATTTCATGGGAACTCCCGAATTCTGTGGCCTGTGGAAATTTTGGGCCTGGAGTTAGATGGAAGTTCCCCTCCCTGGAAGCGTTTGGATGGCCAAGGATAGCAAGGTTATAAGGGCCTACAGGAGAGATGGGAGGGACTCCTTATCGGGGAGTGTAGTGATAGGATGAGGGGTGACGGTTTTAAGCTGAAAGAGTGTAGCTTTAGATATTAGGAAGAAATTCTTTTCTGTGAGGGTGGTGAGAGCCTGGCCCAGGTTGCCCAGAGAAGCTGTGGCTGCCCCATCTCTGGAGGGGTTCAAGGCCAGGCTGGATGGGGCTTGGAGCAACCTGGTCTGGTGGGAGGTGTCCCTGCCCAGGGCAGGGGGTTGGAACTGATGATCTTTCAGGTCCCTTCCAACCCTAACCATTCTATGTTTTACTTGCACTTAACATGTATGACAGCATTGATGCAGGGGAGCTGCTAGCCTTAGACCTGGGGATATACTGATAGCCTTTAATTTTGTGTTCCTGGTGTTTGAGCTTTAATTTCAAACTGTTGATACCAATACCTGCCTGGAACGGAAAGTTATTCTTGGACTTTTCAGAAAGTGCTATGGGATTTTTTTAGCGTCTCTCTAGATAGGTGTGTCAGTACTTCTCCTGTATATGTTTGGAATGTGTTTTTCTTATGAAAGCATAACAATGGTTGGTTGAGTAAGCACTGCCAAATTTAGCAACATATGGTGTTGGTTGTTTTCCGCATACTTGCTAGATTTGTGAGGTTGTTTTACAAGAGAATACAATGTAGCTTATGGGTGCCCCAGTCTGTGATTATGCAGAAAAGTGACAGTGGTTGTGTCCATGCATTGAATATGGTGCACGTCATTAAAAGCAGTGCTGTGAGTAGCTGTTCAGAACTGAGCATCTGAAAGCCTCTTAAATCACGTGTATGCCGTTATATATAAGTCTCTGTGTTTGACATGGTGGTCACCGTGCATGCACTTTTGGGGGTTGGTTGGTTTGTTTGTTTGTTTCATTCATGAAAATCCTTAGTAACAGGTAAAATGAATAAAATACAGAAAACTGTAGTATCTGTATTTGCTGCTTTGACACAGAAAGAGAAATTTTATTGGAACCAAGAGGAATCTGGGATCTGCTGACATAAATTCAACCATATAAATCTTGCTCCATTGAAGTAAATGGAAAATTACTATTTCAAACTGAGTTAATGCATAAACATTAATAAAAATGGAGCCTACGTATTCTTTCAATTAATGCACTGTAACTATATTCTGTAATTTTGTGTGTATGATGAGATATGAAGCAGTCAGTTTTGATTTTAGGTGTATGTATATATTTCTCGATCCTTCTCTATTTAATTAATTTAAGATTTCATTTGTGTCCCTTCCCCCCAGAAAATCGTGAGGATATGCTGAGTTCAAAAAGCAACAGACTGACAGAAGCTTTGGAAGAGGCCAATAAACTGTTCAGTGGAGGTAAAACAAATTCTGTGGCCCTTATAATGTGTTTGCTTGGCAGTTGGCCAAATGTGAGGCAATGATGCTCAAGAAACAAAAAAGGGCAAGAGAATGACGTTGAGGTCCAAGTACTTAATCAGAATTGTTAAAGTATAGCTTGACATAGATATCTTTAATTGAAGAGGGATTGTTCGAATAAGCTGATATGATAAAAGAAATATCATTACTTCAGTGTTTATGTGCACTTAGAAATACTGCTTGCTTTATCTTGACTCTGTAGAACAATATATATAAATAATACATATAAAAGATATCAATGTAGAGGGGTTCGTTTCACTTGGAGAGATGGAAAGTATGTAAATGAAAAATGCATTTTATTCTTCAAGATAATGTGTTATTTTTCTGTGCTTGCCTTTGTTGGTGTCATCTGCTCCTTTTCTCTCCCTCTCTTTTTAAAAAAATACTTACAAAATCCTTGTAATATTTGTATGCTTGTTGGAGGTCAGTACAATAACATGATTTACAAAGCTCTACACCCAGGAAAGTCTATGCTAAATTTTATTGTTATGTTTTTGACAATTTCATATTATTAACATAAATCCTTCTCTGTAACAGTTTCCTGTGCGCGAGAGGCTGCGTTGGATGCCCAATTTCTTGTCTTAGCATCAAATCTGGGAAAGGAGAAGGCCAATGAGTTGCACTCTGAGATGACAGCATTTGATTCACTAGCATTTGCGGACGACTTGGTAAGTTCCAGATCCTGAATTTGCCAACAGTTTTGCTAGAGGTTTGCTCTATTTGTTACAGAATCGTAAAATAAAAGCCTTAGACTGTCCATGACAATTCAGTTGGAATTTAACACTTTTCCTATAAATTTCTTTGATCAATGTTGTTTGTTTTAATCTATGTATTAAGCATTTCCAATATGCATAGGGGAAAATCTATCTTAAAATGCAGATGCTGTAACAGTTTCCTGTGCGCGAGAGGCTGCGTTGGATGCCCAATTTCTTGTCTTAGCATCAAATCTGGGAAAGGAGAAGGCCAATGAGTTGCACTCTGAGATGACAGCATTTGATTCACTAGCATTTGCGGACGACTTGGTAAGTTCCAGATCCTGAATTTGCCAACAGTTTTGCTAGAGGTTTGCTCTGTTTGTTACAGAATCATAAAATAAAAGCCTCAGACTGTCCATGACAATTCAGTTGGAATTTAACACTTTTCCTATAAATGTCTTTGATTAATGTTATTTGTTATAATCTATGTATTAAGCATTTCCAATATGCATAGGGGAAAATCTATCTTAAAATGCAGATGTCCCCCTCCATGGTTGCATTGCTGCTACTTTATGACAGTTCCATCATTTCATGCTCTTTAGGTAGTCTTGTGCACTTTTTTATACCCTCTGTTTTATAGTTTCCCAGTAGCTAAGTAGTTTCTTTACCCTGTCTGCTGCTTTATATGTTTTGTGGAAAGAGTTCTCAAGGCCTTGTGTCACTCACATGAAACGGGGCTTTGGATTACTTGCATGTTTTCAGACATGTTTGTCTCTTTGTACAGTGACTGGCTGGAAGAGTCAGTTCAGAATAGCTTTGAAGGAGATTTACCCTCCCTGAAAATTTTCTCTTGTGTTACAGTAGATTAATAAGGAGTCTGAGTCTTTGATCTAGAGCTCTGAAATATAAAAACCCATCAAATTCCATTGTTTCATTCACGCTGTTCCTACAGAAGTCTGGATTGATGGATGCAAAGTTGGGCCAAATAAGTAGTTTTATGACGTTTGAGGAGCTAGGCTTCCTGGAAGTGTGTGGTGTTTGGAAGCTGTGAGACTTCTTAGCTTTATAGTGCAATTTAAATAATGCTTTGCTACTTCATACATCATTGAAATTATGTTGGAATATAGGCAACTTTATTTACCTATAGCTCTTTTTTCTTTCATTGCTTGCTGGTGCTTCCTAAACACAAGTGTGTACGTGACTTTTTCTGTCACATTCTGTCTTCAGGAGAGTCAAGGTTCTCATGTAGCAATATTAAATATTAATTGAGTAGGAAAAACACCACAGTGCAGTATTTCACCATTAATGTATCTAAGTGAATTTCTCTAAGTGAATTTTCATTGCAGCTTTCTTTCTCTTGTAGCTAAACTTCATGGGGATAAATCTCATAGAACAAAATGACAGTGATTCTGAGAGCACTTCAGGTGGCTACTTACCTAGTGATGCCTGGCATAAACTGGGAGAAGAAGCTGAAAAGTACTTCAGAAGAGCACCTTCTTTTCACTATATGTAAGTTTATTTAAGGAAATAGTACATATGTCTGCTGCACAGCACAGGCTAATGGCCTTAATAGATTCTTATCTTTAATGCCCTGGGCTTGAATAGAGTTTAATCTTGGGTCACAGAGTGTCAACAAGAACTTCTGTGTGGTCTCTGTTCTTATGGTACAGTGAACTCCTTGTCTCCAAAATATGTCATAATATTTCTATTTTTGATTTTGATTTGGCTTGGCTGCAAAATAATATCACTTGTATCTTGTAGAGATAGCAAGGTATTTTTGCTTTACCTGTTTCGGACCAAAACCAGTAGAAGTCATCCTCTTTCCTTTAAAAACTGACTCTTCCCTCTTCCCTCACCTTTTTTCCTGTTTCGGACCAAAACCAGTAGAAGTCATCCTCTTTCCTTTAAAAACTGACTCTTCCCTCACCCTTTTCTCCCTGTAGAGGCTGCAGCCAGAATCACGAATAGAGGAACCTTTTTTTTTCTTTTTTTTTCTTTGCTTTTGCAGACAGTTATGAAAGGTCAGTCTATCAGGGTCTATTACCTCTTACCAGATGATTGTATTACCATAAAGAGACCAACAGTTCTTCTTGTATGTCTGTGTTAATGGGTTGTCTTTTAGAATCTTGCTTTCTGGCTCTACTTTCAGAAGAAATCACCTGATTACTGGCAAGTGACCTTATGTAGAATCAGCATTATCTCTCCTTATGCGTGGGCAACCCATTTAGTAGGAGCCTTTTTAGTGACTGTCAAATGACCCTTAGTCACCTGGCTTATAGACAACACTCCAATTTAAATCTCTCAAAGTCAGCCTACAACAGCAGGATCTCATTCAATTAAATTATCAGTGTTAGAGCTGATAGAATATTATTCAGTTGTCTTTGCTTTTACACTAATTCCACCCCCCAAATCACTGCAATTGTAAGAAAGTTGCTGAATATAATAATTTGATCATACAGTATCTGATATTTAATGTTGGATAGCTAATTGAGATATTTCAAACTTATATTTGCCCTTTCAATCTATGAGCTCTAAATGATGTGTATTTTCCAATCATTTTTTAAGATTAAGACAAAACGGACTGCAAGAAAGACTTTTTTTTCTCGTTAGTTGCATTTTGACATCTTAAGTAATAATGTCTACCTTCTGATGGAGGATATGTGAATATTAGCAAAAAGTTAATTTTAAATAATGAAGCGTAGTCTTCAGTTTAGGAAAAGAACTACTTATTTCTGACTCCATCTATTCTTAGTTGAGGCCTGAGGTGGGTTTTTTTTTCACGGTCAGTCCGTGACTTCTGAAATTGAGCAGTCACGACTCACCCAGGGTAGGGAAAAATATGTGCTGCAGAATTTTTGGGTACCTGGTGAACTAACTTGAATTGAGTCTCAATTCGCACTCTCTCCTTTAGGCATCTAACTTGGTGGAGATTCAAGGCAACCAAAGTTAGGAGCCTAAGTTCCTTTTATAGTCAATGGAGAGAGGTAAGCACTTCAAGAAAGTGCCTAAATCTAGCACGTATGTTACACTCACGTTGTTTAATGAGAAACTTTGGATCTCTTCTTAGTCTACTGAATGTTCTATTGAGTGACTATATCTTAACAATTCGTGCCTTTTTTCTTCTTAAAAAAAAGGCTTATTACAAATCTGAACTTGCAGAAACTAAACAATAGATGAAAAAGATAAATATTGTATGAAGAGAGTTTTCAGACAAAAAAATTTGTAGTAAATTCAAATGGAGATATTGGAGGATATGAACTATGTACCCTGTTTCATTTCTTAACTAGTTTTAAGAAAAGTAAATTTAAAGTTTTCAGTTAAAAAAAATACGTTGCAATAATATCAGCAAATTTTATACATCTGTTGGTAATTCTTGCATGAGGCTGTGCCATGCTTTAACCCCAGGCAGTGCTCACATAGTTCTTCCTCGTCCCTCAGAAGGGCTGGGAAAAGAGGGAGAAAAGGAGGGGAAAGGGAAAAAAAGTGTGTGGGTTGAGATAAAGACAGTTTAATAGAACAATAACAGAAAAGGAAAATTAATAGTAATAATGATGGTAGAAGAACACACAAGATACAATCACACTCTCACCACCCATTAAATTGGTGAACTGGGACCACCCCAAGGAGTGATCGTGAGTCCCGTCCCCTCTACCCCCAGCTGACCCCAGGTGCACACTGAGCCTGATGGCCACGGTACGGAGTAGTCCTTGGCCCTTCCATCACTCCATCTGTGCTCCCTCTCAGCTTCTATGGGAAGCTGAAAAAAGTCTTGGAAAAATATAAACATCACCTAGCAATAACTGAAACAATACGCATTACTGACATTCCTTTCATACCAAATCTGAAACACAGCAACTACTAAAAAAAAAAAAAAAAAACATCCACAAAACTTCATCCCAGCTGAAACCAGGACAGGCTGCCAACATACACTGGGAGCTACTTTTGGGGATGGCTGTTTACAGAAGTCTCTAAATGTGATGAGGCTTTGTTTTTAGGTATCAGTCATTACTTTGCACTTTTATCAGAAGATCAACTGCTCAATACATAGATTTCTTAGCATACAATATAAAACACATTTCCATATAGGTGTTCTTTTTATTTCGGTTAGGTTGGGATCTTTCAAGTCTGATCCTCCCGTACCAAGACAACGGATTGAGAGGCCAAAAAAAGCTGCAGCAGGAGAAGGAAAACGGGCAATGCCTGCTCAGGTTTGTGAAGTGTTATCTTTATTATTGATTTGTTATGGCACAGTTACTACAAGTGAATTTTACATTCTTTCTGTTAGTGTTGTTTAGGGTTTTGTAGTTGCAAACAGTAGTACTAAAGGATCTAGACTTCATTATCAGGCTTCTTGATTTGTTTTGTGTGGGACTGCAGTATTTCATTGAGTGCATGGAAAAAGGATTTACTTCACTGTAAGGACTGACTTCAAGTTCAGAAATAGGATTTACGGAATCATTTTTCCATTTAAAATTAGCTTGTTTGCTCTGATGCTTGTTGCTTTGAAAGGAATCAAAAAAGAAACTTCTTTACATTAGTGTGTTTGAGAGAGTTGCTTCCAGAAGTGGGTGATTGCTCTTTGTGGTTTGTTTAGGTAACCAGTGATGGTCAGAATAAGTGTTATTATACTTTCTGTGTTTGGTAAATAGCGACCTGTGAAAGTTTCTATAGCTGCTTTATTGCAAGGTGCTGGAAGGGAAAGGGGTGGTTACAGGGAACAGCAAACAGGTTACTGAGCACTGTACTGGAAGAGTGAATTTGGTACTGCTGATGACCATACTTGAAGGATGACTTGGAGTACACTGCTTTACAGATAGTGAACAAATCTATAAAGTCACAATAATTGTATTCTTTGACTGCGTCAAACTTCATGCCATGATGTTTCTTACATGTAAACTTAGGTGTCTCCTCTGAAAAAAAAGTTAAAGATCTTAATGAACTGCCCCTCTACACTTACAAATAAACTTCTTCAGTAAGCTCACAGACATACAAACTGTGGCCATTCAGTTTGATACTGTAAAATGGGAATTAATTCCCAAAGCACTTTGTAAGTTGTCCAATGTTTGCACAAGTGTGTCTGTAACTGTGCATGTGTGGCATAGACAGAAAAGTTTATTTTTTATGCTATGTGTTGCTAAAAGGCCCGTTTCGTATTCTTGTCTGACAACAGTGGCTATTTGAGGTGAAACTATGTTTCTTTTTTACCCAGTTAAAAAAAATGGAGGAGTCTCATCAGGAAGCTACAGAAAAAGAAGTAGAGAGGATTTTGGGATTATTGCAAACTCATTTTAAAAACGATCGTAAGTATGATTCAATGAAGCTTTTAAAGCATTAATATGAGAAAATAAATACTCTTAATCTACAGTTAAGAGTGGTTAAACTATAGAAACAAAATTAGGTGGAGTTTACCAGTAGAAATCTTTGTGTTGAAGGCTATATCTTGACTGTGGGGTATTTTGTGAACACTGATTAGTTGCTGTTTGATTGCAAAGTTGATTTAAATCCTACCCTCTCCTCCTTAATAGAGCATGCTGTTTTTTAAAGGCAATCAAATAGTCACTGTGTTTGCGTGTGGCAAAGCGTAGAAAGAAAATAATACTCTCTAGAAACTGTTTCTTTCTACAGGCAACTGGGAATTCAGCATTGTAACTAAAGTGACAAACATACAGTTAGCTTTTAGGAGGAGTACTGACTTTCTTAGGTTTGTGTTTACAATTATTAGCTGTGTGTATACCACCTGTTTGGTTTTGTTTGTTTGTTATTCTTACCAAACCCATTTTTGCATCTCTAGCTGGTACACCTATTTCCTTCTTTGATCTTGTGATCGATCCAAACTCTTTTGCACGCACTGTGGAAAACATCTTCCATGTTTCCTTCATTATAAGGGTAAGGCGTGACATGTTCTTGAAATCTTATTTTAGATATTGGAATTACCTAGAAACACTGATTTGTTGTTTTTTGTGGCATTAATATTGACAGATTAGGATTTAAATACTGGAAATCCTAATTTGTTTTATACAAACAGTCTGTGATATTTTGATAATGGAATAAAGAAGAAAACAGAGTTGACAGACTAATTTTTTTACTAGATATTTCCAGACAATTAACCAACAAAATAATAGTGAAGTTTTTGCTGTCAAAGCACTTTTTGAAAAGGAATTCTAGCTGACATTATTTTAAATCATAGTCATAGGATGTAGAAGAGATAATGAGGTTGTAGAAAAATGTCAGTGCAGTGTTTAATTTTCTCTTTGAATCTGTAGATTAAACTAGGTGTAATGATAAAACAGACTTGGTAAAACGGAGAAAGAAATATATTTTGACTAAATTTGGGTTGATAGTGAATATTGATGTGATTATGAAGGGTTAACTATACTTCATGAATAGTAATGATTTTTAAGTAATGATTTTAAACTCAACTTTTTTATAATTCAACAATTACCAGCTTTCCTACATCAGCCGCATTCTTTATGAATAAGTGCTATATTGAAATAATTTTTCCTATTTAGTATGCCAATTAAGATTCTTTATGTATCTGTTTATGATTATGTAATATCTTAACTAAAAATACAGAATCTCAGTGCATTATCCTCACTAGATAGTTCTAATTTCTGAAACTTTAAATCCTACTGTCTTTTAGGATGGTTTTGCAAGATTAAAGCTGGATGATGATAAATTGCCAATAATAGGTAAGGCTACAGAAACTTCTGAAGAAGCAGATGGTACAGGCTGTTGATAGTGACTAGCTTAGTGGATTATGTATAAATTGATTTGCTTTTTGTGTTCCTGGAGGAAACCTACCTTCCAAGTGTAAAGACTATGAAAATACTGTATTTTGAACAGAGCCTTCAAAAGACAACGAGGGAAAGGAGGGTCACCATAGTGCTGGAGCACGGAACCAGGTTGTCATATCTCTGAACCATCAAGAATGGAAGGTATCAGAGAGAGCACTTGATACTTTTGATTTATTTTTTTTTCTTAAGTGTAAAAATGCATCCAAGAGCTGTGCTGTTACATACTCTGATGAGGGTGGGTGTTCCTGCATATATTATCACTACATTTAATTTTATGGATTCCAGAACAATCACAAATCTAATGAATGTTTTTAAGTGCAAGAAAACTGAGAATTGGGATAGCAATTTCATATTTGATCCTTGAAGCTGGTGTCAGTTTAAGTGCTTTTAATTCGTGCAGTGACTTGCCTTTATTCTTCTCTATGAGGACTGCATAAGTACGGAGGCTGTTTCTTCCCTTACATATGATACTTGCTTCTAGATGGGAAATTCTTCGTGCAGTTTCCTCACTGTTTGTAGTTTGTAATAAATCTTAGACAAAATTAGTTTTTAGCACATACAACTCTTCTGCTTTCTCCTTCACTCAGAATGTGCAGAAGAAACTTAGTAATTTGAAATAGTGCTTTAGTATGAGAAACTTATTACTTGCCTCGTGGTAACTGCAATGAAATTGAAATAGATCTTGTAACTTACGTTTTTTTGTCATGTCTGACTAGGAGATTGTAGAAACATATGAAATAACAGAACCCATGATTAGTCCTCCTTATAGAAATGAAGATGAAATGGATATAGCTTAATTCAGGTAAGTTCAATTAAAAAAATTAAACTAATTGAGGGTACAGTGCGTGAGTTCCTTATGCATGTGGGAGAAATGCAGGGAAAACTACCTGTGACTTATAAATATAGAAAAACTATGAGCCGGATAACTGTGTAATGTCTGGAATATTTCACACAATGCCGTCTAGTCTTCTATACAGTAATTAACTGACAAAACAAACCCTTTATTTTTACATTTGGCGGTCAGTAAGTGATATACTTGAGTTAATTTTTTCATACTCATACTTGGAATGCAATGCTGTGAAGAATCTTAGGGAGGGACTTGGGGAAGCAGGGGAAGGGAAGACAGTCTGGTTCCCTCTAAAATCCTGTAAAAGATAGGATTGAATTATTTTATTGTCACAGTTGCTCGGTAAGTTCCAAATCTTAATGCATATTGTCTTATTGTCTTCTTTTTTTTTTTTTCTTTCCCCCTAGGTGCCTTAAAGAAAATATTTTAAATTTTTTCCTTCAGAAGAGATTTTATATGTATATATTGTAAAATTAAATTTATTTTTATTGGTACATCTCGACACTTTATATAAGCTGTCTCATTCATACCTGTCACAGGGTTATTACCATATACTTCCTATTTATTATGGCTTCGTTTACTACTTTATATGAAGTTTACTGAGAAGCTTTCAAGAAAAGGAAATGCTCTCCCCCTTCTCATCTCGTCTCTCAGCAATAGCAACCCGCAAGGGGGATTTACATCATTAACCACCTCTGCTCTGCTAATCTTATCTAGAGGATCTTGGGTGCCGCAGGACAAATTTGATACTGTCTTTCTCTTCTGGGAATCAAGGTTGGACTTAGGAAAAGTAGTCTCAATGAGAGATAAATTCCTCCTTCCTTTTTTCCTAAGTCCGTCATGTGTATTTGGTTTTGGAACTCGGGCAGGGCAGCTTTCTTGGGCCACGGCTGTATTGTCTTCAGAATAAATAAAAGTCTAGCTCCATCTCTAGGAAATGCTCTTCTGAGGAGCGCTGCCTCTGGAGTTTTTAGGATTTTGTCCTTCCTTTCCTCAGGAGGCAGGTCTCCAGTCCATCAGCGGGGGCGATGCGCTCTCTGCTGCTTCCCCCGCTCTCGGGAGCCCGTCGAGGGGGGCGATAAAACACGGTCAGGCCGTGAGAGTAGGAGAAAACACATTTTGATCATTTTTGATCATCTACAACAAACCCGAGCGCTGCCTGTTGGTTCAGATCCGTCGAGCGGGGGGAGCCCTGCCCGGGGCCCGGCCCGCACCGCTGAGGGCGGCAACCTCATTCCCGGCTTCGGGCGGGGCCGCGGGGGCCGGCGGGCGCCATGGCTGCCGCCGTGGTGGAGTACAAGGGCTGGAAGGAGGGCTACCGCTGCGGCTACTGCGGCTCGGAGCGGGGGAAGGTCTCCGCCGGTAAGCGGGAGCAGGTGGGACGGGACGGAGCCACCGGGGCTCCTGTGGCGGGAGCGGGGCCGCCCTCACTAAAGATGGAGGAACTTGCCAAGGGCCTGCGGGGAAGCGCCCCGCGGCTGCCCGCGGTAAAGATGGCGCGGGCGGCGTTTCCTGTAGGCGCTGCCCGCGCTCCGCCCTTAGCAAAGATGGCGGCGGCGGCGGCTGTTTCCGGGCGTCCCGGGTCGCCGTGTGGGGCGGCGGGCAGGGTGCCGTCCTGAGGCGGGCGGCGGGGCAGGGCAAGAGGGGTCAGCGGGGGAGATGGCGGCGGCCGGCAGCTCTCCCAGCATCGTCGAGTACTTCGGCGGAGAGGATGGCTACCGCTGCGGCTACTGCAAGAACGAGAGCGGCAACCTCTCCCACGGTGCGGGGCAGGGCGGGCGGTGAGCGGGCCGGGCTGGGCCGGTGCTGCCGGAGAAGGGGGCGGCCGGCGGGTGCGGGGCCGCTCCTGGCTGGTACCGGCCGGGCTGGGGGAGGCCTGAGGGATGGGGACGGTGTGGGGATGGAGGCCATGGGCTCAGGGTGCCTCTCCATAGAATGGTTTGGGTTGAAAAGGACTTTAAAGATCATCCGGTTCCAACCCCCTGCCCTGGGCAGGGACACCTCCCACCAGACCAGGTTGCTCCAAGCCCCATCCAGCCTGGCCTTGAACCCCTCCAGGGATGGGGCAGCCACAGCTTCTCTGGGCAACCTGGCCCAGGCTCTCACCACCCTCAGGGTAGAAAAATTTCCAGTCTATGAGCAACCCATCAGGAGTAGCAGGAGAGCTTTGTACGGAACAAAATGTTTCAATTATTACTGTCATAACATACACACCCTGAGTAGAGGTGCTGTTAGGATCTTGCCCGAAGCGTTCTCCTGGTCGGGTTTCATTTCACAGGTGCAGTTGTCCTGCCGGACCCTCCAAGGGTCTCCCATGGTGGTGGGTCGGAGCCTTTCTGCCCAGCGAGGCCCTCGGCTCTGCCCCTGCCTCCAGACAGAGTCCTCAGGCCGGCTCAGTGGGCTATATTTATATTCTTTTCTGCTGTGAAGAGTTGACAGTCCCGAGCTCGGCTCAGCTGGGCGGCCGCCGGGGCGATTGCTCTCCACAGGGTCCCTGGGAATGGTCTGTGTCAGTTTCAGCCCCACTCTGAAAAGTGCTGCTGACCCAGTGTTTCTGACTCAGTTTAACGAAATTAAGGCACAACTCTGTGTTGTTTTGTTGGTGTATGTTTGGGTAAGACAGCAGGCAGCGAGGTAAACTTCTTAGCTTGTACACTCGGAGCAATATAGTTTGCATCCCAGGACTTAGGTTGGTTTCTCTTTTCTACACTTAATATGCACGTTGTAAGTCAGTAATTTATAAGATTTATGAGTATGCCAAATCCGTGAAAGACATTGATTTGAAAGTCACCATCAGCTGCTCAGATTTATAGTAATATTTCTGTAGAACTTGTTGCATTTTAGTGTTTTAATGCATAACTGTGGACAGTCAAGTGTGTTACTGTGTTATTTATTTCAGGTATGTGGGCACATTCGATGACAGTTCAAGATTACCAGGATCTCATAGACAGAGGATGGCGAAGGTATATTCAAAAAGAAAATACAAAGCCATGTTGTCAGTTGAATTCAGCTTAGAATCCAGATTTAAAATTTAGGTCTGTGAAAACAGTTAATGAGTTTCTATAAGAAATTGAAACAGAAGTATTTGTGTTATGGTCTGGGACGTTCTGTAACATGACCCTGTTGAACAGCAAAATATTTGGTTATTTCAGAAGGACAGTGTTATTGTATACTAACATCAACTGAAGAACTTGCTTCTCAACTTCTGATACTCTTCATGTAATATTTTGATATTATTTTAACAAGAAAGGTTCATCTTCTATTTATTTTGTAGTATAAGCAACAAAAAATTAATACATATTTCTTATTATTTTTAGAAGTGGAAAGTATGTCTACAAACCTATCATGAATCAAACGTGTTGTCCTCAATACACAATAAGGTAAGAAGCTCAAAATGTGCTACTGTAAGTTGTTTGACCGCTTCAGATATGTTCAACCATCTGTGTTTGCTGCTTTAGATACAGAATACTTGAAAAGTTTATCTACTTTTAATGGTGCTTTGTATACTAAACATATACTATAAAATATAGACTGCTCTCTTGCTTGCTGGTTGCAGATGACCTAGGATATCTATATGCCACAAACACTGCTTTAGTAGCCCAAATAAGAGAGGCTGTCAGTTGAATAACTATAAGTAATTCTAGCTGGGCTTTTCTGGCATTAGTAGTTAGCATCGATCAATCAATAAGATGGATAAGTGAAGAATTGTAGTGTATTAGCCTCCTAGGAAAGCTTTTTTTAGGCAGTGCTTAGGCTCACCTTGGCATATTTTAGTAATTATAGTGATATACACACAGAACGTGCCATAAAGAATGATATGCACTACAAGGCAACATACTTGTATTAACTCAAAAGTGTTTATAAAATATTTGATGACTTAATAGAGGGAAACTTAAGAAATGATTAGAAAAATATATATACAGTGTAACTTTTTAAAGCAGTTCCTAACATTTTTCTCTGAAATAATGTTTCGGAAAAGAATTGATCATAATTTTTTCTTTTTGAGGTGCCAAGCTTTGCATTTTCAGACCTCCAAATCTCACAAGAAGGTTCTGAAGAAAATGTTGAAATTTATTTCCAAAGGAGATGTTTCGAAAGCAGCGAGTGAAGGTAAGAAATTCTTACTGTTTGAAACCAACACTGAAATTTGAAAGGAGGATCAAGTACCTGCTGGACTGATTGAATGGCTAATACCCTTTGATTTTTGTATGTAGAACCCTTTATCAAGGTCTGGGAAGTTTGTGTTTTTAGTGTGCTTTGAATCGAGAGCCCAGAGACCAAGCTGTGCAGCTGACTTGCTGTATTGAAAAATACGTTTCCTTATTTTTTTCGTAGACCAACTTATTGTCTTTTTTATCTCTGGGCAGGTGCTTAATTTCTAGCTGGGTGCGGCAGAGAATTAGACCCTGTTTTTATCTCTGTCACAGAAGCAATAATAATTTGGAGAGGACTAAGCGGGATGGTGGGTGGCAGAGGAAAGGAAGAGCAAGGAGGGAAAAGGAGGGTTTTTCTTCCAGGTGATTGAACAGTCACACCCCATTTATCCAACCCCAAACCCAGCTGTGCTCAGTTGCTGTGAAATTTGTGTTGGTTCTGAATCATTATAATTTCCCTCCTGGGTATATGTTGGTGTTTTTGTGTCTTTGTTTTTTGTTTGTTTGAAGTTCTAGCTTGAGATTAGTTGACTGCCCCGTTTTAGTGGAGAAAATAAAGCTGTTCTTATCAATGAGTTTCTGGTGCAATTTGGGGTCATAAAGGAAGTTTTCCCTTTTCAGACTATTGCAAACAGTCACTTTATCTGTTGAAAAGCAGTTGTAAATTTGGAAAGAAGTTAATTTGATATTAATTGTGCAAACTGTGAGCTGTGGTTTTACAGAGGGAAATTAACCCACGCAGTTTTTAATTATTTACAGAAGAGCCTATGGATTCCCATATCGAAGATGTGGTCACGTGTGATTTTGCCTACAAAAGTGAATCTCATGTCAGTCAGTCTGAACTGACACCCCTGAGTGTGGATCCCACAGAGAGAGTGGAAAATGAAGATAAGGGCACAGGAGAAACAAAAGAAGAGGCAAAGGAGCAGAAGGTGGAATCGGTTTCTCCTCAGATACCTGCAGATAAAGACACACCAGTCCCTGGAGAACCATCACATTCAGCTAAAACTGTTCATGCACCGCCCAAGCCAGGTACTCAAATTTCTGGTAGTAGCTGGAATATGCTATCATGATTTTGCATGGTGTTGAAGAACCCTCTTATCTTGCCTAGGAATTGAATAATTGTTTCTTTTTATTATTGGTACTCTTGCCGATTTATGGAATTCTAGTGTATAAACTTGAGAGGTGGTGTGTTTTACTTGTTCTCTTGGTTCTTGCTGAAAGTTGCATCGATTTTTCACCGATTTATGGAATTCTAGTGTATAAACTTGTGAGATGGTGTGTTTTACTTGTTTTCTTGGTTCTTCCTGAAAGTTGCGTCGATTTTTCATTGTATTCATTTTTTTTTTTTTAATTTGGTTACCAAGTGTGTGTTGGGATGAGTTGGGATGGCATTCTAATTTCTAATTTCACTTGCCTGTTACATGTTGTGCCAGTATTTGTGAGAACTTCAAAGTACTTTTTCCTTTACAAAGACTTTTGTCTCATTCTATAGGTGGGCTAATTTCGAGTAAAATCATGTTGTTTTATCCTTAATAAACACTCATTCTGATTGGTTCAGGCTTTCACCGGCTTAACAAGGAATTTTGCAACTAAACAGAAAGGAAAGTTTTCAGAAATGCTTATGAGAAAACCAGTGGCACTGCAGAGAAGCAGTGCTGTTACAGAGACTTGGAAAACTTGCCCAGAATTTTTAAGACTGTATTTTATATTTTATGAAATGCAGTCGAAGCTTCTATAGTCATCGTTTTTTAAATAATTACTGAAAAACTTTGTTATGTAAACGTTTTGAAAGCAAGCTAAGCGGCTGTTGACAGCAGGTGGCAGTCCTGGGTAAGGATGATGAGGGTAAACCTGCCCTTGTTTTGAAAAAGTAAGATATAATCTTCATGTTATGTTAAGAATAACTTTAGGTAAAACTTTAAACACTGGAAATGCAGATAAAGAAAGCTTGAAACATTGTTTGTACTCTGTTTAGTAACAGAGGGTTTAAAAGAAAGCTTGAAACATTGTTTGTACTCTGCTTCAGAAAAAGAGGGTTTGCTTTTATAAAGGAAGATTATTCATTAGTGTGCTTCTTTCTGAAGGTTTAAAATGAAGTATAAAAGTGAATAATAAATTAATCAGCTTATTTAATTAATCTCTAATTATTATTTTTTTTAGGGTAGGTAGTGTCACAGGTCAAATTTAGTTTAAAATTTTCCAGATAGAAAGATGTTTAGGTTTCATCTTGGAAAATGTAGACTTATTCTGTAATAACATTGTTTAATTGTGTTTTTATTCCTTTATAAACAAAACAGGTCATTGTCCTATGGGAATAATGGGCTGTTTCTGCACAGTTTCAGATAGAAAAGAAGGTTTGCTTATGTCTGCATGCACATTCATTGCTTTAAGAAGTTTTTCTTGCTAACTTACAGCTTATAGAAGATAGGAGACATGAAACAGATCCTGATACAGATGAAGTACTCATTCTTCAAATGTGTCATGAGTATTTTAAATAAACTCTTCCTCTGACTTGTTTGCCCATGGGCAGGTTGCATAGTATCTGTAATTTCCTCATAATATTTGTCCTTTTCTGGTGAATAATTTTGGCTGTATGGATGAAACAAATACAAGCCTTAGCTGAGAGTTAAGAACACTTGATAATAAAATCTGCTGGTGCAATTGTAGGGTGTCTGAATAATGCCCAAATGGTATTAGCTCTTTTTCTAACTCCCCAAGATGCTCTCAGCATTTCAGCTCTTGTGGATTCTGAATGGCACGACCAGGCTGGGACTCTTCTGGGGGAGCCCTAAAGAGCTCACTGCTGACTTCTCCCAGGAGGGCACTCATAAACTGTAAATCTGTGTAGTATGCACATTAAAAAGAATAATTACAGCCTTGCTGATACTTAACAGTTTATCCCAATGTGAAATACTTTGCCAATTCCTATGCTGGATCCTTTGGTAAAGAAAGGTGCAGGCAGCAGCTCGAGGGCTGCAGTTCTTTGCAGGTGAAGTGATTCTAAACCCATCAGTGAGCTTCTAAAATATCCCTGCTCTCACCATTTCCAATTTGCTCTCGTTATCCATGGGAAGGTTTGAAGCAGGTAGAGGACAAGAAAGAAGCCAGTTTTGGTTCATAAGTTACTGGTGAGGAGGAGGAAAGAAAGCTCTAACTACGTTTTCATAGGAGTTCTGGAAAAAACAATTTCCATGTAATTTCTAGGCCTTCAAGTGAGTGGAGTGGGATAAGCTGTAGTTAAGTCTGGGTTTGGATTCCTCTTTCCTTTTTATAAATATTAACAGAGTTGGAAATGCATCTTCTCCCTAATGCTTCACATGAAAGCACCTCACCCTTCAGGGTACTTTCCCATTTGAGAAGGTCTTTCAAAAATTGCCGGCGTGTCTTGTCAAATACATGGATTTGGGGAGAAAGCTTATGGTGTAAAAGACTTCCTCTGCAATTTGTCATAATATTTGTTACAGTTTTGATTCTGTGCAAGATATATGACTGTATTTCTCTTTATGGGAGCTTTTTCTAGTCTTTCTCTCTTTTCAACGTTTTTAATACTATGACTCTATTTTGGTTCCGACTCATCTACCACTGCCCTAGTAATAAAAAAAATGTGGAATTAAGAGTAACTTTGTATTACAGTAGCTGGCTGCTGATAAAAATATGAGTGCAACTTTTCCTTTTGTAGGGAATTTGCAACAGCAGCTGCTAAGGTGAGACAGGCAGTGCAGTAGAACAATTCTTTACGAATTTGACTGTGAGATTTTGTAATTTTGGTGGTTTTTTTCCTTTCAGTATTTCAAGCTGATCCTGTAGCTGTCTGGCTATAGAACACCATCCTGCCATATATTAAACAGGAGCTTTTCTTTGTTTCTGGGAGAGGGATGTGGTGTAATGATTTACGGATAGGCTTTTACAGACAGGAAGTCTTTTCATTTTAATTTTTAAATTCAACCTTGGCTCTGGGATGAATATGGAAACACCTTGACCACGATTCCAAGTGCTGCATTAAACAGCTGTAGAGGAAAAAAAAAATCATGGCAACTGAGCTTGGCATCGGGCGTTGCTGGTAGTTGTAAATGTGAAAGACCATGTTATGTTCAGATCACAGTCTGCAGTTAATGGTGATTTTAACCATTTCTTTTCAGTGATTGCGTACGACCTTCTTGTTTGTTGCAAAATGTGGTAATTAATTCTTTGCCTCTGCTCTTGCAGGGAAAGGGGCTGATCTGAGCAAGCCACCGTGTCGAAAAGCAAAGGACATACGGAAAGAAAGAAAACTGCAGAAGCTCCTTCAGAACCAGATGTGCACACTTGAAGGCTCTCAACTTCAAGCAGGAGACCAAGTTGTCCTCTTGCAAAACTCTAAATCTAAAACAAACCAACCTAAAACCATTGAAGACTTTGTTTTTGTCTCTTTACCTGAAGATGCACGACACAAGTTGGAGGTAACGTCTCATTCGCTGTCGTTGGAGGCAAATTAAGGAAAAGTCTAGTTAGGGAGTTTTTGAAATGCTTAGGTGTTTAGCATCTGTGACTTTATGGAATGATTATAGTTTAAATCTTGAAATATATATCGTGTGTGTACATATGTATCTATATATCTGGTGCAGCTGAGCTCTGTGTAACCACAAGAGGGTACTCGTGCACTTGCAGTCAGTCATAGCAGAGGCCAGTACAGTTACCAAAATAACTTGTAAATTGATTTCATACAACGTGACTTGAAAATGAAGGACTTTGGATTAACTGAGTGTTGAATGATGGGAGAGATTCAATATTTAGTTCTGCAGTATATAAATACTTAAACTATCTATGCTAACGAATCTTGACAAGAGAGCAGTAACTGTTCGTAAAATTAAACAGATAAGAAGATAGCTGCTCTTTATAAACATCACTGATACGTGTTGATGTCTTTGGAAGCTGTAAAAGTGATGGTAGGAAATTTTGCTTAATATACTGGTTGCCATTAAATCCACTAGTAATATAGAGATAGTCATCTGGAAGACTTTTGGTCTTTCTAACATTTGTTAATCATAAAGCCTTTTTTTTTTCTTGTTACTTTTTCTGGAAGCTGGAAAGGTGTCTGAATATCAGTATTTTCCTGTAGTTACTGATTATCAATGATGGCATTCAAAATTAAAGGATTCACTAAATAACTGACAGGAAGCCATGACATTGATCCATCTCACTAACTCCTCCAGACTTTGTGATGAGTTGTGTAACAGAAGTGTGATGGCTTTGTCTGAACATCTTCACTTAGAAGATGAAGGGAGGATTAAAAGGAGAATGGTGCCAGCAGTGTTTCCCAGATTGCCTTTGCTCCTCACTAAGGCTCTCCAGTGTGGTGTTTTGGTTTGGTTTTTAATAGATCAGAATCAATGCTATTTATGAAAATAGAACCATACTGAAAATTATGTAGGTCTTTTGAAATTAACGTGTCCTTAAATACACTTGAAAAGAAATGCTATATTGCTTATATGATAGCATTCTTTTTTGTTAGGAAGCAATCATTTTCACTAAGAACAGTTTTCAATTTATAGAATTTTTTTTTTTTTAATATTTATTTTTGTATGTGTAAGGCCAATGGCGGGGAAGATGGATAACTTCCTATTACAGTTAACTCATAATTGAATAGGGAAACATTGTTTAATCTTCCTCTTTCAATTTGAAAACTATCAAGAAATCCCTTTGGGTTTATTGCAATAAAAACATAGTCATTAGATAAAGTGCACCGATCTGAGTCTTCCAAATGCATGGGTCCTTCACGGATTTTTCAGCATAGTGTGAAACTACAAGAGAAGACTTTAAAAAGTAGAGAAAATGCCTTAAAAATGTTGATCTGCATACTGTTGGTTGGTATTATTTCCTGAAAACTGTGCAGTTCTTTTATAGGCATTTTAATTATCTTAATTTGAAGTTTGAAAACCTTGTATGTTATTCAGTGTAAACATAAAAGTCTTCAATAGCCTAAGTTGAGCTGAAAAATTGAAAGGCTATTGGCTACTATTAATTAAATTGTTAGAGCCCTTGTGGAGGAAGTAAAAATTTCTCTCTGTTGTGATGTTTGTATGAATGTACAGTTATTGCATGATCTTGTAATAATGAATGTGTTTAACTTCTTCTGAAGGTGAGGGTGGTGAGATCATCTCCACCAAGTTCACAGTTCAAAGCCACAATGCAGGAGTCTTACCAGGTCTATAAACGTTACCAGATGGTTATTCACAAGGACCCACCTGATAAACCAACTATAAATCAGGTCAGAAGGCCAAACGAATTTTATGCAAAGCTCAGTTTCCCCTCCGTTTCATGTGCCTTGTTTCTAGGAGAATCAAACCTGGATTTTATATCCGTTGTATATTCAGAAGTGTGTAAAATGCTGGATAAAATAAAATCAACGTCCTGAAAGTGCAGACTCTTTTGATATCTCTCTGTGATTCTTTTTGAATCACGAATATTTGTTCTTATTGCGGACAGAAGAGTTGAGGAAGTTACGTGGGGATGCTATTGGGTAAGAGGTGGAGAGGAGGAGGCTTTTGGGGATAGATGTTGTGGGCCTTATAAATACAAATGTCATAAGATCTAAAACCAGGGGACACTTGGCTTGATAACTGGTCTCCTTGGCTTTGGTTTGAGCTCTGCCACAAGGAGGAACAAGTGTGACCAGGGCCAACATGTGAGTGAAGGATTCATCACACACAGATTGTTAGTTTAAGGTTCACAGCAGTTTTATAAACCTCTTTGCTTTTGATTTAAGCCCTTCAAGAAGTAATCTGTGCTCTCCATCTAAATTACCCATTGTTACCGCTTCTTATAATGACCAGGTGGTGTGTAGTGGTTACCTCTCAGACACATTACCTCTCTAAAACTATAAAGAAAAAAAATCAGGAGTTTGGAGAAAAGGTGTATGTAGCAAGAATATGTAATTGCTAAACCAGGGCAATGAGTGATGTGCCATTAAAAATAATACTTTGTAAAAGTCCTTGAGACTATGCAATGAAAATAAAATTTGTGGTTGATTTGTGAGCTAACTTGGTCAAAAAGTAGGTTTGCTAAACTGGTGCTTTGAAGTATTCTAGTGTTGAAAAATTTTTATTCTCTTATGAAAGTACCAACAGTCAGTTTAAGCTCAGTGTTAGTCGTCAGGCTTTCCCCCTGGAGGAGACTTGTTATTGTGATAAAAGTAGAAAACTGATTTCGGAGGCTTTGAAGTGGATAGGAGGAGATCTTTCACTAGCCTTACCTTCAGAAGCATATTGCCTGATGATATGCACTCAAAACAGCATGCTTGTATTTCCCTTGCTCTGAAGGTGAGGTTAGTACCCGTCTCCTTTGAGGACCCCCAGTTCAAAGCGTCCTTCAACCAGTCAGCCACACTATTTTCCAAGTATCAGATGGCCATACACAAGGATACACCTTCTGACTGTGGCGAAAATGAGGTACAGTTCACTGCATGCACCTTGCTGAAAACACTTTTTTTTAGTGCACAGCTAAATGATGGGAAACGGTGTCTCTTAGAGTGATCATAAATATTAAATTATTGGAGTTCCCGTTTGGGAGGGAAAGCGATGTGGTTTTTGGTAAGCTGCTGTTGCAGGCCTCAGCCCCAGGAAAAACAGCTGGAGAGAGGGAGTATGCACCACCATAACTAAAAAAACTAACGTTAGTAGTGAGTTATGTGGGGGTGTTGTTTCTGCATGATTTGTGAAGAGATCTGGGACTGAGATTTCCAGTGGAAATGGGATAATGGTATGAAAATGCCTTTTTCTAAGACAAAAGCATCTGCTTTAAAGTTGTTCGGTACCTTTTCCACATTTCTCCTTAAATTTTTGTTGTCTCACTTAAATGAAGAGGTGAAGGTTTTAGAATCTCAGTTTTATTCACATTTCATTGTAAAAAAATTTTTACCCTCTCAACTAGGACTCACCTTGGTAATAGAAATAGTGGAAAAATATTCTCAGCAGCTGATGGTCTGAGATTCAGTGAGATTCGTTGTGCAGATAAATAAAGGCTGCTTTGAAGATAGAAAAAGGTGTTTACAGGATGCTGATCCTAAACTAATAAGTAAATAATAATAATAATGAAAAAGTTGAGTGGGGTTCTAAACAAGCAGCAGTTATCTGTTACTCTAGCAGGTGGTACAACGTGCTCGTTAGCAGAATTAATAAAGCTGCTACCTCAGATCTGTCACTTCTACCTATTTAAATGTAAGACTTTAATGTTGATGAGTTATCTAGTCAGACTTCTCTCTTCTTGGGAGCAGGGCTCACAGAAGTGATCTGTAGTGAGCAGGGGCTGCTTTCCAGGTAGGAGAATAAAACCACAGAATCATTTTTGGCTTTAGTTGAAAAGAGCGTAAGGAGAGCTTTTTTGTGAGATCTCTGGGGGAAAGGCATAACATTTATTGTGCTTTGTTTTGAAAAATAAGAGGATTCATAACAAGGAGTTTCTATCCTTTTTATGATTGCTGACATAAGTTGGGTTAATCATAATCAGGTAAAAATTGGGAACGTGCCGAGAAAGGCTGAGCTATTTGCCAGCTCTGTGCCAGGCATTGCCTGGTCTGATCAGAGACTTGGATTTGTCTGCTACCATGCATTTATTTCAGCCCCAATGCTTACACGTAGCGTGTATTCCACCTTGCTTTTGCTCTGAAAATCTTGCTGCTGCAAAGAGTAGGATGATAGAAATGTAGAATCATTTTGGCTGGAAAAGCCCTTATGATCATCAAGTCCAACCATTACACCACGAACCCGTGTCCCTCAGCCCCAGGGTAGGGTTTTTAGGTAGCATAGGGTTTTTAAACTGTCAATTATCCCTTTTTCTCTTAGTTTGTCTGGTATAAATTAAACTTCCCTTAGAAATCTTCATCCCTCAAAGTCCTTTGGTCAGTCGCTCTAGGATTCAGCTTCAAAACTGCCCTGGAGTGTGGTCAAGGACTGATGTTACACAAAGAATATTTGTGTCAGCTTGTTTTTATTGAATTCAATTGGCGTCCTGAGGAAAAACATAGCTAACGATTTTCTAATTAAAGGTTGCTTCATAATGCTTGCTCTTAAGTAGGGCTGCAGAAGGACTGATTTTTCAGTTCTTCACCGTGGGAAAATAAAACCTTATTATGCTGCTACGTAAATGCATTTTTGGTAATATCTCTTTTTAAGAGTTGTTGGAAAAAGTCAGAAGAGTTATGGGGAACCTCAACAGATTATCAGGTGGGAAAGTACAAATAGCTTCTGAATGAGGTAAGGTATGATCATGGAAAATAGGTGTATCCCTGCCTATTAGAGAAGTTTATCCAAGGCTGCTTTGGAATTAGCTGAGACCCTGAACTGCTCATTTGTGGAAGCTGTGAAAATGTGCAAGGGAAGGACCTGTGCTAGTGTTTGTCACAGTCTATGCATTTCTTCTGGCCCTTTATGAAAGTACTGTATATGGACCTCTATCTCAGGTCCAGGACAGTAGTTCCCCTGTGCTATTCCAAATATTATATTTATTTTTTCCAAAGTAGTGGAAGGCTGTAATCCTGTTTAGGATATGGATCTGTGTCTACAACATACAAACCCCACTAACGTAATCAATTGCAAGCTTTTATCTACAAGTTAGAGCTTTTTTCTGCTTGCATGGGGGTTATATTTATTTTGTGAAAACGGTCAAGCTGTAATGAAAAAAACTGAAATAATGAAAGCCTGGAAAAACCGGAAAGGAGAGACTTCTATAATGAACAGAGAGGAGAGAGTGAGCTGAGCATCCTTTCGTTGGGCAAGCGTTGTTTGAGTCAAGAGTATCATAACTACACAAACAAATTGTATGAATGGCAGTTTATCCACCTTTTTTTCTTAATTTTTCTATGGGAAATATGATGAATCATTACACAGCTTTGTCACCATAATTCACGCACTGAGAAATGGACAAATATGGTTTTGGAGCTTGTGGTTTTTTTGAAACTGAGTAACTTTGGGTTATATTTCTGGGGGAAAATGTGTAGGTTAATGTATAGAATAACACTCAGAGAATAAATAAGACAAATGGCTGACCTTTTTATGTGTGTTGTATAATACTAAGAGGCAGAAATACTTGGACAAATCAAGGAATCACGTGCTGGTGGCAGACAGCACCAGTGGAGGTGGGTTTCTCCACAGACAAACCACTATCACGTGCTGGTGGCAGACAGCACCAGTGGAGATGGGTTTCTCCACAGACAAACTGTTATTCTGGTTTTCAAGAAACAGAGAAGAATACTAAGTGCCCAGGCAGTACTTTGTGCTTTAGCTTTGTAGAGTTACAGTGCAAAAATCTGAAAACAAGGTAGAAACATGACAGAAGGAAACAAGAGAGAAACAATAACTAGATCTGAGGGCACAGTCTGGCTCTTCAGGTAAGAACATTGGATTTGAGGAAGTTCAGTAATAGATCTGGCTTGGCTGGCTCTTAGCAAAGCAAAAGACACATTTGCAAACATTTTAACTCCTGCTCAAGAGCAAAAATACCTGTTTCTGTGTAAGAAATGCAGGGAGGACTTTGCAGAACACAAATCACCTGGAAGATGCGACGATCCAACCCTACCCCAGCTTCAGGGCGATTAACAAAGTATGTGGAAATATAGATGTAAAAGTTTCAGAATATTTTGCCACCTGCATGTCTTCTGTGTTTCATATGAAGTGTCAAAATGTATTTCTTGGTATTTGAGTGATAGATAGAGATGTGGAACTTGCGTAGCTCTGGAGGCAAAAGATTTTCAATGAAATTAACACGGTGAAAACATTTCTGCTTGGCCCTTTCATCCCGAGAAGGAATTTCTTTGATCCCAATGATGTAATCAACGGCTAATTTGGATAGAAGAGGGGATACTTCTGGCAGTTCTTCCTAATGAAGTATCATCTCCCCAGAGGCATTGCATTTCTGACCCAATGTTTTCTTTTTTAAAATGCTCTTTGAAGTCAATTATAGAAGCTGTCAGTGTATTTTATAGACACACGCACACATACATCTCTACCAACTCTCAGTGAGTTTAGTTCTTTAGCTGTAGCTACTTCTTGTGCTAAAAAACAATTAGTGCCCATCATTCCAAAATGAGGTTTACGTATAATACGTTATCCTGTAAAAATTAGAAATTATGCATGTTTTTTTTTTGTCCAGTGAACTTAATGGTTGCTCTGGGTGGCTTTAAACACCGATACAATGGACATAGTCCATTTCTGTGATTTTTAGGCTTCAAGCCTATTTACAGTAGTCTTTGTCTTTAAGAAACCCGGCTGAAGTGCAGCTGAAACAAGCGATGTGGCAGCTACACAAGTTAGAAAACATTTCCATAAAAGATCGTAAAAATTCTACAGTAGTTTCCAGAAAGAGCAAGAGCGAACACTTTAGTGCTGTTTAGACCTTCTGAAGCAGAGACCTTTTATTTAACTTTTTGTGAGTGTTTTCTAACGACAAACTTGCAGAAAACCAGTATGTGTCTGCATTCCCTCGGCAGAGCTCGCTGGACACTCGCTTTGCTTTGTGCTTAAATAAATATTTGTCTTGGAAGAAAAGAATTTCACAACACACAAAAGATACGCTGTTTGAAAAGGTGCAAAAAATTACTGAAATAGGTATAGTGAGGTTTTTTTTTTTCTTTCCCCATTTTTTTTAATTGAAATCTACTTGAACTAATGCAGAAAACTGAGTAGTCTGGGAAATGCCAGGGAGCACGTTCCGATCAATTTGAAAACTGGTATCAGCAGCCAGTTGCAAACATTTTTTTTTTTTTTTTTTTTTTCCTCTTTTAAGTATTATCTGGTGGGGTTTTTCACTCCTGTTCTTTCTCCCTGTCCACTAATTTAGGTCTCTCTGACCCAGTTTCCTCTTTTTTTTATTTTCTAATGAGGTAATGCTTAAAAAATCAATAACCTTTGTGGTTATTTTTAACTTTCTGTAGCTTGCCTCAGCAGCCATACGATTTAGGTCTCTCTGACCCAGTTTCCTCTTTCTTTTTTTTATTTTCTAATGAGGTAATGTTTAAAAATCAATACCCTTTGTGGTTATTTTTAACTTTCCGTAGCTTGCCTCAGCAGCCATACATTTTTATAAATTTGAATTACTATAGATTCTAATGCTCTTGAATTTTATGGTTTCGGTTGATGGCAGTGCTAATATGATGATGGCTCTTCCTTCTGCTTATTTGTGTGGCCCTTGTGGCCAGTGTCCTGGATTCATGGATTTTTATTCTTGCAATGCCTATAAGAGCCCAGTAATTTAGGCATCCAGGCAATTAAGCAACTTCTCCATAGTCATGTAGCTTGAGTTCAGATTCTTTTTTGCATCGTTTACATTGTTCTTCCTGATTTTGACACTGAATTTTCTATGTAAATCCATATAAAAGTAAAAAAGCTTTACTGTAAAACTGACAAATCTCCATTATTTTGAAAGTAAGTTTCTTCTGAGCAGACAAAGCCACAGT